GAACATTGAGCTTATGTCAGAGTACAGCTGTCATAGAATCAAGATGCTGAGGGTGTGTTCTCTCAGACGTTAAAACATTTCTGTGAGCTGGGAAGGTGTCTCACGCAGAAGCCATGACGATGTCATGTTCGTAGGAGTGTCCTGCAAGGGTGGTGTGGTTGGGCTCAATGTTCAACTTGAAGTGACTCTCCAGACCATAATGCTTCAGGAATCCTATAACACTCATGGCATCTGATGAAGGAAACAGTAACATGTGAAATCAGCTGTAAGGTTTGTTTAGTAAAAAGAATTTTAAAAGGGGCGGGGGGGACTTACCATAATCATACTGGTGTTTGCAGGGCTCCTTGGGCTTTGGTTCAATTAGAAACTGACACTTTAACCCAATCTGCTCTTTGTACTCTGGTGAGAGAATACACAGACATGAAACTGTGACGCACACACAAAACCCACAGACCAAAACCCAGACCTGGATTCAGCTCTAAACTCATGACAACACTTACTAACAGCCATTTTGAAGAAGTTGGCCATGTGCTTCAGCTCAGCAGCAACATCCGTATTATGGATGGAATGAAAACCTTCTCTCCCTCCCCAGAACACTGAGAAGACAAATGATGGATTAGGAATTTGCTGACAAACATTTTCAGATTCATATAAGGTCACCGTAACATTTGACCACTGACATGTAATACTTTCATCTTGAAGTCTAAGTGACAACTGATCCAAAGTGGAATGAATTCCCTTAAGTTGGGATATCACATTCAAGAGGGCTAACACATGTTCTGTAAGGCCACTGTGACTTTGACCTCCAAAATGTAATCAGTTAATCAGTGAGTCAAAGTGAAAATGGGCAAATTTGGAAGAATTCCCTTGAAGTGCTCCTGAAAGATCATATTCACAAGACAGAACGTGTTTTGAGAGGTCACAGTGAGCTTGACCTTTGGCCACCAAATTTGAATCAGGTCATCCATTAATTCAAGTGAATGTTTTTGCCAGATCTAATTAAATTCCCTTAGGGCATTCCTGATACATCTCATTCACAAAAACATGGGGTCACCTGTGAAAGGATTTCCTCAGGGCGTTCTGGAGATATCGCATTCACAAGAAAGAGACGGATGGACAACCTGAAAACTTCAGAGTCAAGTCTCTCGTACCAAAATTCTCTGCACCAAGCTTCTTGGCAATGTCCAGTCCTTTCTTCACCTGAGCAGCAGCGTAGGCCAGAACATGACAGTCAGGGTTGGTAGCTGCACCGTTCATATACCTGCCGCATGAAGATCACATAGGAAACATCTACATTATGATGGAGTAACATCTTCCCCTGCTAAAACATAGCTATAAAGAATAGTTCACCCAGAAAAAAGTCCAACAGTTTACCCCTGAGACTCCTAAAGCGTCTTGTGGACTCAAACACTTCACCCACCCCTCCATCGGCATAGAGGCATGAGTGATTTTTCATTTTTAAGTGAACTATCCCTTTAATGAGGACCGCTTATAGTGTTATAGGTCTGACCTTGAGTGGGCAAAGAGGTTGCAAGTGACCCAGAGCACCTTGACTCCAGTCTGGTTCTGCAGCTGGAGGGCCAGGTCTGTGATTTCATCCAGATTCATGTTGGACTCCTGCAGCGTGGAGCCCTCAGGGGCCATGTCTCTGTGGGAAACAATGTCAAATCATAAAATGCCTTCATCACAATTTGCTGTTTAATATTGTTTAATGCAGCTCCACTAGCACAATGCACAGGATATTTGAGATAAAATCAAGGTACTTCATGTTAAAGAGCATTTTATTTCCAGCATTACACAAATAACACTTAACCCAATTTATTCTTAATTAATTCAACTACATGTAGTTTGAGTCTGAAGGCCCAGATAATTATTTTCAATGCTATTCTCCCAGAACTTTTTTCAATATGAGTAACAGCATTGTAACACAGTAGGATAAGAGAAATACACGATCTGACTGAATAAATAAAAAAACCCTCTGGGTGATTACCTGTCATGAAATGTGTAATATTTAACCTGTGAGGACAAGCAGAGGTACACAATAAGCCATGTTCCTTCTAATTAAGCTACCATGTGTAATGATAATTAATCATTAAATTCCCTCACACCAAGCTTGGTGAAAAACTCAAAAGCAGCACAGAGTCGCCTCTTGGCTGATTCCATAGGAGTCCCTTCATTCCAGGGCCGGTGGAGCGTCTGAAACCCAAACGGATCAGCACCTGAGAAAGAAAAGATAATCATTGTTTAAAAGATAAAGAAAAATATCTGTTTACGTCAGTCTACACAAATTAAAATAAGATAATAAAAAGATACACAGCCTTAATGTTTAAGTCCCGAAATACATATTTCCCCCATTTAGAGAACTTAAGACTTAAGACTGTCCCAGATCACCCAAAGCATGCTGCCCCACATCATCAACCATGTTTGATAAAGTGGAATGGCCAGACAACGACTCTTCTTCCTCCGCAGGCTACGGAGGCTCAACATGGACCCCAGGATTCTCTGCAACTTCTGCAGGTGCACCATAGAGAGTATCCTGACTGGCTGTATCACCGCCTGGTATGACAGCTGCACCGCCCTGAACCGTAASGCTCTACAGAGGGTGGTGAGGTCTGCTCAGCACATCACCAGGACAGAGCTGCCATCCATGGAGGACCTCTACACCCAGCAGTGTAGGAAGAAGGCCAACCGGATCAGACCTCTATCACCCCAGCCATAAACTGTTACACCATGCACTACTTTTTTGTGTATATCTTATTGAATTTAATTTTTTATATTCTATTTTTTTATTTTGAGCGTGGCTAGAAGGGAGCCTGTGACCCAAGCATTTCATTGCCAGCGACTTTTGCATGTAATTGTTGTGCACATGACAATAAGGTCTTGAATTGAGAGGAGTTGGCAGTTTGCTGTGAGGCTGCAGATTTGATTAGTTTTCTTCTTTGGTTTTTGCCTCAGTGTGATTTAGTTCATCTTGCTTTTTTTGGTAAAATAAACAGCACCAAACATCTCCATGCATATTTTGTTGAATACAAACATAATTTAATAACAACTAGTAACATAGTCTTATTTATGATATATTTTTCTATGACATCACCCCCATGAAGACATGTGATTTACGTCACATGATGTCCACGCTACCCTGTAGTAAAACTCCTGTCCAGCTTAGGTGTCCCACATTACCCAAAGTCCCAGAGTAGCAGAATTCTCCCTACCAGTTCCACAGAAGGAGTGCCAGTAACAGACTGAGAACCTCAACCAGTCCTCCATGGTCCGTCCCATCAGCGCCTGCACAGAGGAACACTGAGGAGTCTGCTCCCACACTTCTCTGCTTCAGAACATCCTCCCCTGACACACACCTACCTCCTCTGCATGGTACTGTCTGAAACACAGGACGGCTCCTGGCCCAGCACTGGGGACATACGGGATCTTGGGGATGCCTGTGCAACAGTTCATGACACAGTGTTATATAAAGATTTAGAAACGGGAAGTGAGAGTTCAGTAAACCATGTTGTTAGACAGCAGTTAGAAACGCTATATAATACATATATATTCCTCAGTGGTTCCTTCTATCACCTGCTGCTACAATGTAAATAAAGTGTACTGGTAGTTTTGGTTAACGCGGCCTTCCTCGCTGCTCACACGAGACACTCACGTCACATGGACGCACACGCACGTACAAACAAAAAGCGTGTATGCAGCAAGTTTCTAGCGTTAACGTGACGTGATTTACCCTGAAAGAATTCCTGCCGGGCTGACGTGTCCTCCATAACAACTTTCTATGTTCCTGTTTGCAGGCGAGCAGCAGCTTCCAGTCCACGTCCCTCCTCCTCAGCAAAGAGTGCAATTCCCTCTTCGCACAGCAGGTGTCACTAAAGCTCTGTGAAAGCCCACCGTGTTCTAATGTCAAACAGCAGCTGAGTTTGAATCATGTTTAATTCTGAGGTTTAGGCCAGAACATTTCATGAGTGTCGTTTTATGACATATTATAAAAGTACAATTCATCATATTATCTCTCTTTTAAAAACTTCTACTACAAGTCCCATATATGAATATATATATATATATATATATATATATATATATACAAAAACAAATTTGTTGTTAATACATTGACCATGCCCTTTGACAGATATTCACACATGTATTTTCTATCACAATCCTGATTCTGCATGATGAAAATATATGCAAGTCTTATATAATGTTGAATATGTATGAGGTATGCATAGTCTTACTTATGTTAGAATGTCTTATGTCTTACTTAAGACACTACCATTTAACAGTAATATAAGAAGATACCAATTTAATTATATTGTTGAATATTTGCAAAACAAGCTTCAAAAATGAAATGCCACTTTCTCCTGTGGACAAGATGGCTGTCATTTGTAATGCTTGTAAAATATCTATGTTCAGTATCATCACAAAATTGTCATATTACACTTAAATGCATGTGATATATATATATATATATATATATATATATATATATATATTTGCACAACTTTATCATAGCTATATCATACATTGTTGTAAGCCTGATTATCATATTCAGTAAGAGTTTAGTCATACTACTACATAATGTTTTGGTTGTTTTGAATGATAGCAATATTTCTTGATTGTAATGCAAATGTCAAACAGAAGAGGAATAAGTCAAACTGGAGCAAAGATTACTAAGCTCAAGGCTATGAGAAAGTATGTCAATCATAATGTTAGTTTTCACATTTTTTTCTTACAGAAATGTCCACCCTTTCACTTCAGCAGCCCACCGCTCCTGTATATGTGTGTACATGGCATCAATGTGTGTTTCTATGCATGTGCGTGTTTCGACAGGTGCCAACTGGATGGGTTAAATGCGGAGAACAATTTCATGTATGCATGTAAAAAGTGTTAACGTGACAATAAAAGTAAATCTTCTTCTTCTTCTTCTTCTTGTCTTCAGATGTTCGCTCTTCTTGCCAAAACAGAAGTAAAGAAACGTAATGAGAAAAAACAAAACCATCTGATGCATGTACAATACACTATGTTTATTTCAATTACAGTGGTGCTTTTATAAAACATCTGATGCAGAAACATCAACATAAATGTAGAAATGATAACATACACACGTAACCCTTAAATACATATTAACACACTTTTAGAAAAGTACATGTCATTCTTTAGAGCCTTTGGTCTGGAACATACACCAGATGGAAACGATACACACTTGCAGGAGAAAAGTTCCTATCATATTTCATATCAGTAAAGAATATACAGTGCACACATATATACCATTTGCCTTCTCCCGTTAAGAAAGAATATTTTGCTTTTTTTTAAACTAGGGATTTACGACCCTGTGTGATCCAGTTGTCCGATTTTATAATGCTAAAAGTTTTGCATAAGATAAAGATAGAATGGAAGGCAAAGCAAATACAACCAAGCACCAGGCACTATAGAGTGAGGCACTTGAGCACCTAACACCTCTGGTTTGGCATCATGACATTTGGCACATGAGGGTGGCATTAACTGTGTGTGTGTGTGAGAAAGAGAGAGAGAGAGAGAGAGAGAGAGACAAAGAGAGAGCTCATTCCAGGAGAACTCTGACAGCCGCGGCCTTCTCTTTGAGTCCAGGTGTGCATCTGAAAACAACTTAGATGAATGAGTTACATTCAGTCTCCTCACAGTTACACTTCCACCATTCCACTGACGAGCCTTCCAGTCTGTAGAGAAGGGAAGAAGTACTCCATTGTTCCTAATGTTCATTTCCACCACTTGCACTTTGTTGGTTTCTTCAGGCAACATCATGAGTGGGCTGGGCCAATGAGAGGGAGGAGCTGCTATGATGAGGAGGAGTCAGGCTGACTGACGTCCTTCTTCCTCTTCTTCTTCTTCTTCTTCTTCCCTCTGCAGGGCTTGCAGATGCAGCACAAGATGCAGGGCGAGGCCAGCAGGAGGAGTGGAGATGTCACCAGCACAATGATGCTGACCCCCACCAGGATACCCACCACCTGAAGGAACACACACCAATCAATCAATAATCAATCAAATCCATGTTTTCATACTAACAATAGGCTGAACACACTTGTATCATTTGACCGAGGTTGCTCACAGAGACAAACACAGAGGGAAGTTTTTGTTTAACAGTCTGCAACTTCATCATTTGGGTTAATTGTCTTTCACGTCTAACATCAGCGCATCATTGCTGTAAACAAATTGCTAAGAGTTAAAGTATACGGTTTAATACTGCTCTGATTTACAGTTGGAACCAGTGACAGATGGTGGAGTGACACTGACCTCAGCGCATCCACTTACAACAACTGAGATACTGACTGCAAGGCCTTATTTCACAACACTACTGACCAAACAAACCAACGCTGTTGTGGCTGAAGGCGTGCTCTTGTAGCAGCATACAAAATCAATGGTTGGTGTCTATAAACAGAACTTTTGGGGATGTAGTGTGTACCACTATAGATCATAATGTTATCGAAATAGACGAAACCACTATATGTTAACTGTTGATGTCTTGTTACAACAGCAGTGGTTGGAGGCAGCTAAGAAGGAGTTACAGTGGCAAAAGGAATTTTTCACAAGTAGACTGTAAAACTTAGAGGACCTGTTAAGCAAGGGTGTGACTTAGTCTGCCATGACCTGTTTTGCAAGGAACAACTGTTCTCTTGTACTACAACAACACTCAGCGACGCAGGCACACCAACACACAACAAGGAAGTCCGGGGAAAACTGAGGCTAATCATGAGATAATGACCTCAGGAAAAAGAGAGAAAGTAGGTTCGGGAGCCAATTGTAATTGTTGTGTTGAATGCACGACTTTATTACAGGGCAGGAATGTAAGATTAGTGCAGGGATTAGTTCAGCTTAATGTCTGATAAAGGATTATTTGGGCCCACTGGTAGAAAACAACAAACCACCAACAACCAGCTGAAAGAGACTTTAAAGGGAAGTTCAGCAATAAATTAGCTGCAGATGCACAGATGGAGTTTCCCAAGTGAGATGGTGAGTGAGTTTGTTCAAAGATTAGACACACTTGTTTTGTACACACACTTTAAAGTGTGAGTACCAGTGTGGTCCAGTGTGTAAGATTTAGGTGAAAGGGATCTATTGGCAGGAATTTAATGCAGAATAATCCTCATGATGTTTTCACCAGTTTGTTTCATCTAAATTGTATGAATTGTAGTTTTCTTTACCCAGAAAAGACCCTTTATATTTAAATACTTTATATTTACATAGAGGGTACCCTCTCTACAGAGGCCGCCTTGTTTTTTACATTAGTCCAGACTGGACAAACTAAACACCTTTTGAGTTTGTATGACAACTGAAGCTGCCACAGGCTGCGTTGGTTCCTCTAATGTTTTCTTCACCAGGCATTTCTACAGTGACTCACTGAATTGACTGGCACAACAGTGCAGCTGGGAAAGAGTCCAAAATCTTTAACATCCAATCCTGATAATGTGATGGAACAGTTTTACTAAAATCAAAGCCATGAATGGAATAAGCTGCCACTTATGGATGGGTGGTTCTGCAGTCTAATCCATTGGGACAATAGCACGTCACCACAACCCTGAAATGGATACTGTATAGCTGTGCTCCAATTCAGGAGACGCATCCTTCGGGGGCTGCATTTGACCAACTGTGTCACAGCGGCATGACGGGGCCATTCCACTTTCAAGGCTCCTTCAAAATGCAGCCAAAAAATGAATATGTCCATTCTAAAGCCATGAAGGATGCAATGACTGGAATCATCCCTGCCCAACCTATCCCTGGAGACAAATGCAGGCTTCAACTCAGTCGAACAGTTAACAGTAGAAATGTTAAAAGACATGTTAGGTGAGGTGACAATAGTGTTCATAATCTATGAGGGAGGCCGAGCTGCAGTAAATGCAGCGGCTCAAAGTAGCTAACGATGCAACAGTCAGGGCAGCACAAGCTGGTGACTCGGATACGAAATCCTCTGTGGACCTGAACGACTCATTTCAGTTCGGTCTTTGTGGTCTACACAGATGATGAAGGGGGCCTCCAAAGGGTGTAGCCTCTGACTGGGTAACAGCTTGGGTCTGCTCTGGTGGCTGCTCAAAGGCCTCACCTGTGTTCTGTTCCACATCACAGAGGCCCTGGAGTGTCCCAGCTTGTTTCTGCATGGTCCCTTGTCATAGTGCCTCAGGAAGATGTCACCCTACATTTCCAAAAAAATGTTAAGACAAGAAATTAACTGACTATTAATCGCTGAGGGAATTCAAAAACAAGCTGAAGACGGTGAGGTAGGCTGAGATGTTTTGAACTACACATGTGTGAGATGTGTTGCAGCTGGACTCACATCCAGGTTCTGTAGACAGTACCAGCAGAAGGTGTGTTTGCAGCTCTTGCACAGCATCTGTGCACAGCCCTGGTTCCTCTCGATGAAAATGCCACACATGGGACATTGTTTGATGGGCATGTCAGAGTGGCTGTAGGAGCGGCCCCTGTGGATGAAGAGGAAAGCACAACAAAGATATGAGGTATGCAGTTTAGAGGGAAAAGGCCTCAAGAGTCTCCTGGCTGTGTGTGAAGTCTTTATTTAGCAGCAGAGTGATGGGTCAGTGATCACATTGAACTGGGTTAATTATTTTGGGAGGGAAAGGTATGAAGGAAATATTCTCTGAGTGCAATTTAGGGCAGACGCTGCTATTGATAACCTCCTAGTCAAAGGTTGTTTAGTTTCCATTATTTTATCACATAGAATTTTCTTTGACGAAATATCCTTAAACCTTAAATTAGCTGTGAACACAACCCTGACATATTATTCTATGGTTGTTAAGGCAAAAATTAATACAATCTCATTTATAAAAACGAATCCAATATTCACTCTCCCTCTAGCGATGTCCTCATGGACGTAGCTGGCTCTTAAAAATGACATATCTGTTGCTAACTTTGCATGCCTGCTGGTGACGGACAGGTAGCATGATGTGAGAGCTAAAACTGATTAAAGCATCTATAAATGTGAGTTCAGTGAATTGTCACTTCTCCATATCTCCAAATTCATTAGGAATTATTCCCTTGAAGAAAAAAATAACCAAGAAAGCACAACCAGGATTAGCGACTAGGGCTAAATAATATGCATAATATAGTAATTTATGTATTTGATTTTCACAGGAAATAAAGTGATGATATGATTTCTTTCTGCTGGGGTCTGAACCAAGTAGCTATGTTCATCTAAGGGAAGATGAATTGTAGGCTTCATTTATAATGATTATAATTGTTCAGCTCTAATTGCAACGACATTGCCTGAAAACGACAAAGCCAGAAAAGTACCATGATGTAAGCAAGCATGGAAGAGACCAAACAACCTGTACAATGATTCACAGAAACAAAAAGCTGTTCCTATAATAATGCTGACATATAGCCTCAATGTCAACTGAAAATAATAAAGGTGGAACAGAAACATGACTTGTCATAGACAAATTTAAAAAAAAAGGAACAACCCCTCTTAAATAGAGTGGATGCACACAAAGCAGTAATAACATTACTTACGTTATTTAAGGGAATCAAATTAGGTGAATTCAAAAATAAAACGTGAAAATAACTTTCTAGTCAGAAATCTCTAAGGGGGAGTTACACTGAGGGATATTGGAATCCTAACCAGAGTAATTGTGAAATCATAGCTACAGGATTAGTACAACAACACTGTTTGCCTGTCAAATGTATATTATGCTCTAAAGTTCAAATCTAAAGATGTCTTCCCCTCACTCAGCCTGCTCCATCCTCCACATCCCACTGCAGAGACCACTGGTCCACTACAGCACAGGCTCCTTCTGTACAGTGGAGTCACTCAGACCGGCTCAATGCCCACCCTTCACCTCCCTTTGGCACAGAGACAATGAAATTCTAACACAACACAGCCAGTCTACAATGACATCAGCCAGTGAGGCAAAGCCACAGCGAAGGGCAGCGCAGTCATATAACTGTACAACAGGGACTACACAGAGGGCACTACTGAGGAATACTGGGCTATTAATCCTGCAATTATGTTTGTTTTCAGCTCTCAACTGGGAAATGAGGAACACATCACTTATATGATCCACTCAGTGTAAATATTCTGATACTACAACTGTTCCATTCAGATTCAATGGAAGGACAAGATTAATAATGGGATTTTCTAAGATTTAAACTCTTAGAAAGGAAACCTCTACAGTTTAAAACCAATTATTGCCATCATCACTCAGCCACCTGAATTCCGTTAACAGCAGTAAAAGGTGTTCCTTATGTAAACCCTCAGTCTGGTCTCACACACTAACCCTGCTTTCAGCACACACAGTATCATTTTCAAAGTTTGGCGGGCGGCTGACTAAAGTTAACTGACTGACCTGCTTTCATGAGAGGGTGAGGGTGACATCATGGGCTGGCGTTCGGGACAGGTGTGGCTGTCCTGCCAGGGGCCTCGGCAGCCGGAGCAGAAGACGGTGTGGCAGGTCGGGCAGGGCACAGCAGAGGGCTGGCCCTCGGAGCCTGGCTGCACACTGCACACCGCCTGGCACTCAATCACTGGGCACCAGGCTTTACTGGGGTCCAGCTTCACTCCTGCAGAGGCAAAGAGAGAGATCAGCTAAAGTTTCATGAAGTAGGAGCTGAGATAAATGCATGTTTTGTTAATATTGACAAATAGTTGTCTGAGTTGTTTTTCATGTTCATCAATGGTTTGGAACTAAAACAATGAGTCAATTAATCAATCCACAGGAAATGAATAAAAAAAAATTCTCAAGATAAAACAGTCAAACACTAACTGGTTCCATGCAAGTTGCATTTTTCCTCTTTTAACACAACTGAACTGATGGAAATATCCTTAATTTTGCAATTTGATTATTACCTAAATATTTCTAATGATTCAATTTAAAAGTGATGATGGTTGGATGAGTTACTTATTACAATTTATGGGGACCACATTTTACAATAAGATTCAGTCTGGACCACAGTGGTGGACACACTGTCTACAAGCTAGCACGACACAAAACATCTAACAAATACAATGTTCTTATTTCCAGCTCATGAACTTTTATAGAAATGTTAGGGATACAAATTCAAAAGCAAACATTAATGTGTGGACTCTAATCTCCTTCACAGGTTCATTATTGTATTTGTGAGTCAAAACAGAAAGGAAAACACTGCTGCAAAACAGCCTGTACTTTGCACTTCTTTATGCTTCAAACATTATGAGTCTTATGATTTATTGTCTGAGTAAACTATAACTATTATTGGCTTTAGAGCATATTGTTATTGTGCAACTGGAAAAGCCAAATATAGCTGCAAGGCAAACTAACCTGTTTGCAGTTTGCAAATGTCAACAGAAAGCTATTTCAACACTGCTGTTGGTCTGGCTCCAAAGCAAGACTTAGTTTCACAAAACATGTCCACGATTTAAGTGCAATCATTTATGCATGGGTCATACAGCAGTCACATTAATCAGAAGAGTTACAAGTCTCTTAAAGCATTTGCTATAGAACTCCTTGAAGGTATTGAAGCGCCAGTTTCAGTCCCTCCTGGATAATACTGGATGTCCCACATGTATCCCAGGCATGTGAAGCTCAGCACGCTGTGGAGCTAGTGTAATGCCCCCAGCTGTGGTGTGACCTAAAATAGCCCCCTGCCTGTCACCAGCCATCATCACGCTAATGCAACAATACCTACCTCTCTCAAACTTCAGCCGCTGATACAGCTCCACCTGATCCGCTGCAGCCAGGCTGGCTATCTGCAATCACCAGGCACACAGAGGGGCTTTAGTCATGTTTTATTCAGTCTGATTTTGGACAATGAATTTTGAGTGTGAGCACTCATAAAGAGATCACAGGGGTTTAAAAATAAGGTTTGCAGATTTTCATATAACCCCATTGCACGACTTATAAAAAAAGCATTTTGTCAAGTCTTTTGCATGTAAACCCTAACAGATAAGTGCAAAAAAAGCCTATTGGTCAAGATTATTTCATGTGATTACAATACTTCAAATAATCATCCAGGATAAAGTGGTTACCTAGCAACTGCAAATTGCTGCATTATTTCTAAGAGCTCAGAGGAAAGTACAATAGTACAATAAAAGATTTTCAAGATTCAATCAAATCAATCAAAACTATGAGGATAAATACAAGTCTTGTTTACAGACAAAAAAAATCAGATCAGCTAACTGCAAGGAATCTGTGATGTCCAACAGCTTGCAGGGTTTCACTTTCTGCGTGACTAAGCAGTCAGACATTACCACATTAAACAATTTACCAACGAAAAAACAAGAATTTCCTCGAAACTATTGTTAAGGTTGGATTTCAACACCTGACCTTCGTCAATCCAACCCATATATTTTCTGCAAGTCTGCTTGCACTAATAAACTGGTGGAGCAAGCAACTTATAAATTAAAGGTAAATCAAAATGAATTTGCCTCAAACCAGTTTTAAGCTGGGAAATCAACATTATTTTTGTATTTAATGGCATCCAGAGACATCTTCTCATGACCTATATATGGTTGGGTTTAAACAGGACATACCTCAGAGTCCAATAGCACTCCGGTCTTTTGGCAGGCCATATCTGGGCAGGTGATGGGTGCCCCCCCACCCTCCATGATGGCCAGTTGAACATACTGCTGCAAACACTGGAGAGGGAGGAACAACACTGCACCATTAGTCTGGATATTGAGAGGAACCAATAGTACTGCAATATATCACACATGCCATTCCCTTGCAAACAGCAATACATAAACTACATCATAGGCATATATTTTATCTTCACCATCCACCCTGGATGAAAAAACTATGCAAAACAGATCAAAACACTGAAATGTACTGATGACGAATATAGTCAAATTAAAAAACAAAGGAAAAATGAGCTGTTGTGCAAACAGGGAAAAACAAAATGCCAAATAAACAGAGATTTCGTATGAGCAGCCTTGGGTCAAAAGTCACACGTTACCTCAGCCATGAATTATGAAGTAAAGGAACCATGTAAACATTGTGCAAAGGCAGACTGTTTGGAGGAACAGAAACTAAAAACATTTATAAGTCACTATTCTGTGGAACATGAAAAACAAATCTGTTGTGGAGTTCTGGGCTGTATCTTTAAACTCATTTATTAACACAATCTTGTGCTCATCATGTGCTTTGCCATTTAACACGATAAAACACAAGCAATAGTGTGTGGTGTGCTGGCGAACCAGGTTCATACAATGCAGTCCAGCTGATAAGCACAGTTTATCCATCTCCCTCCCTCCTTCCCCCGTCGTGTGTGTGCGTGTTCTATCTGTGTGACCTTGTGCGTGCAAAACACTGGCAACTTAGCCAGCACGGACGGATATTAACACCTGCCGCTATCTGACAACCTTTCTGTGTCAGAGCATAACAGTATATACCAGACAGCAGGAACAGTGTAGTAACAGACCTTGATAATTCTGTCTGACTTCTCTGACTAATCCCACAAATCTATTCTAGATGGAAACACTCCCAGGTGATATTGGGGAGTTCCAAGTAGTTGATATAAAAAATGTTTGGGAGAATCACAAAAATTTCCAGGGACAATTCAAAGTAATTGAATGTGATAGAAAGTCAGACCTGTGTTGAAACTCGGCATTTCACTAAAGCTGTCAACATCTATTTTAGGATCCTAAAGCAGGAAATGGAGCTGCAAAATTCACTGCCCATACAAAATGATTAAGACATGAGCAAAGCAGGAGATATACACTTTTTCTTCGTTTAGACAATCTAACTATAGCCTGGAGGACCCATGTTCTGCTTCCGGAACAGAGGTTCACCAGTTTGAGATCCATTGCTGCTACTGTGTCCTTCACTGTTCAAAGAAATACTTTGATTTGAGCATTATCTACTGTAAATATCTCATATGAAGTGGTTAAGTCTCAACTTACAGCTGTGCAGAAGTTACAGTTGCAGCTTTGCAGTTGGCTGGTGGCTGCAGATGGCTGTTCACTGAGGCACAGCTTGCAGAAGACCCCAGGCACCGGCTGAGAATCTGCGGTGGCCTCAGGGGTCCCGGCTACAGAATCCCTGGCTTCCTGGCTCAGGGTGGGACTCCTGCTGGCCATGTAGGGGGCGAAGCAGGCGGGGAGGAAGAAGGAATCAGGCTGCTCCTAGCCCTTCTGTTAGGGACAGAGAGGAGCCACAGTCGACATTTTCCTGAAAGCAAAAACAGCATAAAGGTGTAGCACTGTGCTTCTCCTGTTACAGTTTACCTGGCTCTCAGACAATACTGCACCCTTTCTGGAACCTGTCATTCCTTCTGGTAACTGGTGTATCCACACCGATGACTTCACCTCTCTATGTAGCAACACTGTCATTGTCCTGTTAACTGAGATGTGAATTAGTCACTGTTAAAAGCTGTGTGGTGCATGAAGCTAAATATAATGATGGGCAATTATTGTTGTTTGATTACTCAACATGTCTGTACTAAATGATTGGACGTATTTTTAAGGCCAAAGTCCAAGGCCTGCTTTTTCCTGACCCTACAGTTATCGACCAGCTCCTCGTTCATTCTGACAGGAGACACTGACAGTTAATCACTTTCAGAAACATGGTGATTTCTGACTAAAGGAGCTGCAGTGGTTTCAAGTTTTACTACCTCCACCAAGGAGTTTTCCTCTGCATTTGTTTGTTTATCTGTCTTTAAATTAGCAGGATTATACAAAAACTACCTCATGGATTACCAGAAAACTTGGTGAAGGATGTGGTGTTGGTCAGGGAAGAACCCATTAAATGTTTAGTGTGGATCCGGATCAGGGGTCAGATCTTGGAATCTTAATTCAGTTTCTTTAACATTGCGAGATGTTTTGCAATATTTTCTTAAATTTCCAAGAGAACTATTAATGGATCTTAATGAAAAAACTCTGACACGATTAGGGGACTGATACTTGAATGAATATGTGCAATTTGGAGCATGTCCAAATTAACATTTGCATCTGGTGAAATTAAACATGGTCTCATGAGGGGACTGTTGGGCCTTGGATGAGTTATGAGTGCAGCTATAGTTCAACATGTCATGCCAAGCTCAACTGAATGTTCACTTAAATACTCACAATATTACTTAAGTTTACCACTTTAGCTTAGCTTAGCATAGCATTCTACCAGTCAACACTAGACTCTAGTCACAGGTGAGTTATGGGACAGGTATTTGGTCACGAGACAAAGCATCGGACAAACTTCCCAATGTCAGCCTCATGGTGTCAGCCTCATGGTGGCGCAACAGAAAAAGTCAGTGGATCACCAAAGTCATTCGAAGTCCTGTTAATGACCATGAAAGTGTAATGCCACTCTGTGCAGTGATTGAGATACAGTAAGTCTGGATCAATGCAAAAAGCATAAATGTGATCTGTCACTTTTGACCATCTTCGGTTGTCCGACATTATTTACCTGTTACATATTTTGGATCAGCGGGGCCAGAGTTGGGTGGATACTGAATATCTAATCTAGCGTTAAAGGGAACTAAAGTCACCAAAACCATCCCTTTGGTTGATCTGGTGGCACAATCGCAAAAAGCATGAGAAATAATAACACCATAATCTTGGATTTGTGGCTAATCCTGTAGATAATAGTGATTGTGCACAGAACCGGGTCACACAGGAAATGGTGGCGCTAAAAACACACTGCAGCCGAGGCTGAAATCACACGTTATCCCATGCACAATGTTCTCCATTTCAGCAGACTGTTAAAGTTGGCTATTGGAAACTTTGGAGCAGCTTAAATCAATACAGCCACCACCACTACCAGTGTCCTAAAATTATTTTCAGTGAGTGCGCTTTTGTTGTTTACTATCGATCCATGGTGGCATACATACAGATCACGGATAGAGGAGCTTGTTGGTATTTCTGCACAGTCATTGTTTATCCTGCACTACTATCAGAAAGGCGAGGCCGACCGACAGCCGTCATCTGTTACAGGAACTGTTGATTAACTGGGTAACCATCTATCGTAGATCAGATAAAATAGTTTTAACTTAAGAACCCGACAGTGTCTGCCACCTTAGGAAATAATAGATAGTGGGCAGTTTCCTCACTGGCCTTCAAAACCCATCCTTACTGCAGTCCCTGCCCCTGAAAGGCAATCAAACTGAAAATAAAAGCCTGCGTTAAAACTTGAATCTTTCCTGCTGGAGCTATTCATTAATCAAAACTCCCCTGTGCGCTGACTGTTTCTTTTAGGGTGTGGAGCTGAACATTCAGTGATTAGCAGTCCTCATGGATCAAGGTCTAGATGGCCTTCCTGCCGAGGGTATGAGTGGTGAAAAGCTGCTGCTGCTGCGTTGACACAGGCTGCCACTGTGCTGGAGAGCATGCAGCTGGGCAGAGAGTGTGTGGCTGTAATTATATGCCATCGTTTATACAGCTGCAATCACTTGCTGGAAATTCTGGTCTAATAACCTGTGTGTGTTTTGGGGCAGAGAGAGTGAAAACAAGAGCAGACACAGCTGAGACACAGCAGCATGGACGATGGGGCTGATGCAAACCCCACAGTGTACAGTTTACACACTCACTGAAGTGGATACTGAATCACATAGGTAAGGGGGGGGGGGGGGTTAGTTAATAATGATATGGCAATATTTTCTAAAATGACTGAGGTGTGTTTGTACAGTTCGTGTGGTACCAGTGTAATAGCTGTAGCTCTAATATCTGTCAGTGCATGCAACATGAAATCTGACACATCTGCATCCCTCCCAAGGTTGCACAGTCGCATAGGTCAAAACTGACACAATGACGCATCCATTGTGTTGAATCATTTCATGGTGAACGTGATGGTGTGTGTGGGTGTGTGTGTGTGTGTGTGTGTGTGCTGCTGGGGGGGACCTACCTTGTCTGTGGGGGACCACTGGGTGTCCGAGCTTCCTGAGTCCAGATCCACAGCCGCAGTGCTGCTCTTCTCCCTGTGGCACAGACACATGTGTTTTACCAGTGTTGTGCTGTTGGTATGATCAGCTCCGCTCACACACGCTCCGGCCTCATGAAAACATGTTTAAACGTCCTGCCCGCAGCTCGGCCCCGTGCATGTATGTGTGTGCGTGTGTGTGTGTGTGTGTGTGTGTGTGCGCGCGTGTGCGTGTGAGCTCCGCTCTTGTGTTTTGTTTCCATCCAGGAAGCTCCACTGATTTTCACTCTCGACTGCCCCTACTGGTCATTCAACAGAACTCATGCTGCTTTCAGGGGGAGTTGGGAAAAAATGGTGGTCACGTGAGTTGTGTTTTGCCCTCTGTCTTCCTGTAGTAAACTCATAACTTATTCCTTTGAAGATTCAGTGTAAGATTTAGTTGAAAGGGATCTATTGGAAAATATTGAATAAAAATTATGCTATGGTGATATTTTCTCTAGTGTGTTATTATCTGAATTGTATGAACTGTTATTTTCTTTACTCTAGAATGGGCCCTTTCTATAAATATGTTATAATCACTTAAAGGTTCAGTGTGTAGAAGTTAGTGATATCTAGTGTTGAAATTGCATGTTGCAGCTGAACACCCCTCACCTCATCCTCTCCTTCCAAACATGAAAAAGAAACGGTGGTAGCCTTTAATTGTCATAAAAACTCAAAAAGTGTTTAGTTTATTGTACATATTAAGTATTTCAATATAAAGGGCCTTTGCTGGGGTGAATAGAACAACAATTCATACAATTTAGATGAAACAAATTAGTGAAAACATCATGAGGATTATTCTACATTAAATTTCTGACAACAGTTCCCTTTCACCTAAATCTTACACACTGGACATTTAAGGAGCAGGTCTTATCCACGGAGGCCGACATGTTTTTTTTCCAAACTGGACAAACTTAACACATTTTGAGTTTTTATGACAACTGACGACTACCACATATTCATGTTTGGAAGGGGAGGGTGAGGTGAGGGGTGTTCAGTTGCACGATGCAACTACACCACTAGATATCACTAAATTCTATACACTGCACCTTTAAGTGCTAACTCAAAATAATATTTATAGGGCTAATATTCTTTATACAAAATAAGATAAAAAATTGTTAGTCACACTGTTATACCAAGGATAATGCTTTTGATTTATTTTTGAGCTGTAAAAGTATACATATTTTAGCCATAAAATTTGATTATGTACAGTAAGTACATAATCTTACTTTATCAACATAATCAACATAATCAACACTTTTATTTCATTTGAGAATTATATTCTTCTACCTCACCTCATGTCATAAAGTACCATTTCTTCCACTGCATCCATAGTGGCTAATTACTTTTAAAATTGAATAGAACATAAGATAATAATGAGAATAATCATTATTGTTTTTATTATAATAATCATTATAAGTATAATGATAATAATAATAATAATGACTTTATTCATATTGTACATTTAATAACCACTGTTACAAAGTGCTTCACAAAAATGACAAGAATACTAAAAAAAAAATACAATACAAAAAACCCTTCAAGTCAGCAGCATTCCCACCAGACACATTTCACTTTAAATAATTCTAAATGGCCCCAAAAAAGGCAAATATGTGAAAAAATTTATATAAAATATAAAAACAAATAAACAAATAATTTATGTAGCAGAACAAGTTTAGTATTTGTTAATTAATTATTAATCATAACAAAGCTCTCTAGATTTATCATGTGACCCTTTAAATGTCGTCTTGCCCTTGGGTTGGACATACCTACCAAAACGTATTGTCAATTACAACTAGCTACACCTTGTCCAGGTTAAATATGCACTGATACATAGATATAAAGACGGTAATAATGTAATTGGTCTTATGATAATCATAGTTACATAGTTACTATGGCTATTGTGCCAAGTTATTGATTTTGAGGGATTTTAACATTTTTTACAAAACTGTAAAAAAGTTAATAATATATCGTTGTGATTGCTGAGTGCTCAGACTTAAGCCTAGTTTATGCTTCTGCGTCGCGTCGACGACGCGGACCCCTACGCCGCTATTATACTATTGTAACAATACTTGGACATCAATAGGTGTGTTCCTGGACCACGTTAGCTGTTAAATAATCACAAGTTGAAGGCTCAATATAACCAGGCTGCTCAGGTAACAACTTGTGTGTGTTGGGTATAAGCTTCAGTAATGTACTTTAAAATCACAGTTTTATATTTGGTCCAACCATCTATCCATCCAAAATAGTTTCAGGCTGATGCAAAGATTTTGATACACCATTAAGACTGGAAATTAAAACTTATGTAAAGTATATATATTATTTATTATAATAATTAACTAACCCTTTGGTCAAGCTTTTTGAAAACTGCCTACTAAACTGTATGAACACTATTAAATCTGAAATTTAACATACAATATGTAAATATTATAATTTCATTTACAAGCGACCGGCAGTCAAGCTGCAAATATCGCTGCCAGCCCTGGCTGGTAGTATGGAATGTATGTAAGTCATGACATTATACTGACTTCCTGTTTACGGAGGTGATTACATGGCAGAGGTTTCAGAAACAGTCACAGCAGCTGTAAGACACGAGATTTTTACAATTCACTATTGTAAAAATGATTGTTTGTAATTTGTAATGTTACTGATACATGGATTTAACAATGAATGATTTTAATATATGATAGTCAAGGCCTGAGTACTTCAACTTTTGATAATTCAAATACACTTTGCAGAGAATATTTATACTTTTAATCAAGTAAACATTTGAATGGACTATCTGTAGTATGTCGACATGATTGTATTACTTTTTTATACTTTATACTTTTATTGAATACCTTAAAGCACCTGACCTTATAAAAGAGAAACTAATCCTGTTGCTAGACATTTCACTGAATGAAGCAGCATGTCTCAGTTTTGTATTTTATGCATACAAAGTGATTAAGGTACACAAACAAGTGAATTGAAAAAAATTATAATAATAAAAAGTAATTTGGGATTTTTACGTTTGTTTCAAGGCAGCATGGTGGAGTTGGCAGTTATTATTGTGTTTTTTCTCAAAGATTGCCCAGACCCAAATTTATGTTGTTTATCTACTGGTTTGAAGACAATTCCAAAAGGTGTACAGCATATTGTTTTCTTAGTCTGCCAGACTAGTTTTTGTTTCCAATTTTAGAAAACACCTCTTTTATACCAGCTGTAGTACCTCCCCTATATATATATGGTTCCACCCATGGGCATCATCATGCACACCCTCTGTCTCTATATGTGTAATGATCATATACTAAATTCATTCATAGGTGAATGCAACATACACACTGCAAAATACTGTTTACAACATATGTTCTGTTCAGTTCATTGTTGTCATCGTTATGACAAATCTATATTTTATTTTTCCATATGCAAATCTTAATAGGTGTCATATGATGAACCCCCGTGGAGCAATTCTTTTTTTGCAACCAGAATATTTCTTCAAAACTATTTAGCAGGTTTGACTGCAGACATATAGATATAGACAATAAGACACAAGTAGTCTCAATCAGTCAATCAATCAATCAATCAATCAAATTGTATTTGCAAAGCCCATATTCACATATCACAATTTGCCTGAAAGGGCTTCACAAGGTGCAACGTCCTCTGTTCTTCACCATCAACAAGAGTAAAGATAAACTACTGAATCTTTTAACAGAAAATAACTGTATAGAAACATTCAGGATTAAAGACTGTCTATAATAACATAATTGTTTAAAGTGTTTATACAAAAGAAAAAGTCTGACAGAGAGGAAGGCAGCAGCAGACAGTTGACAATAATGGTTGTATATGTGAGGAGGCATATGTCCAAACCATGATCAGATTAGAATTAAATATTTTGAGCAACTGAGTACATTTGTGTTAAGACTCTGTTGTTTTTCATGACTGTGCAGCAGGGCCATGAACAAAACGCAGCATGCAAGCATGAGGCGTGGCCTCTCACGCTTTTCGGCGAGATGTCATCAGACATTAGAGAATTTCTAATCTAATGGAATCCCCGAGGTGGAGTGTGCATGCGCGCTGCTGTCAGGGATTTCCCTGCAGACCCCTGAAGTTTATATGTGTGAGAGCCTCATCATGTGTTCTACACACCGACCGACACCCAGACAGCAGCTATTCCGTGATGTGAGACAGAGCACTGGAATCAGGTGAGTTTCTTCACACACTCCCGATGTATGGACACTTTCTGTAAATGTCTCTTGTTTATACAATATTAATAGCAGTTTTCTCAGCAGCCATTTCGAGCCGTCACATCAGGACAGCTCCAGGTGTTCCAGCCACCGCGCACTGCGTCCGTGTGGCGTCGGTATCATCGGAAAATGATTTCCTGACTCGTGAAAACTCGAAAAAAGCATCGACACAATCACTTATAGAGCAATGAAGACGATTCTACATCTGTTTCAAATGGCAATTTGTAATGTTAACTAGTCAAATGTTACGCTTTGTCACCTTCATACTACACGTCCATCTTTCACTAAACAATACACCAATACACACGGTATGGTTAACGTGCAAGAGTTTGAAATGATTTATCCGCCTGTCCTACCTGATCCGTTTTCTTTGCTCTTCGTTATCATGCAAATGTTGGACAAAACGTATCAAGGTGTTGGTTTAACCCACATTCCTACTTCAGAGAACCTGACAACACCGATTTCTCAGAAACGACTTCACAACTCGGGAAGTAGCCTCTCTGAGAAGCACGTGAACGCAGCATCTACAGTTGAATTATTTCCCTGCTGTAACATGTCGACATGTCTCCTGTGAAGAGTCTGTGCATGGAAAGAATACACAGCTCTAACATATTAACATTAACATTAAACACACTATAACAGATCAAATACAAAGCTTAATCATACACGTGATTTTATAAGATGAATAAATGTCCTTTATTCATCTTATTGGTTGAAACACCCCCCCTCTACCTCTATTTCCGTATATATTGGTTGTGGTGTAAAAGTTCCCCTACTTGAAATGCTGCGGCCACATAGACAAGATTCCTGTGACCTAGAAAAACAGCTCTGTAGTAGCAGTGGATGTTATTGTGATGCAGCCAAGATGAAGATGACTCCCCACCCCGCTTATTCTTCTTCTTCTCCTCCTCCTGCAGGGAATGATTGTTAAAGCCTTCAACATGCAGAGAGCGGTCCAGGTGGTGCAGAGGGCAGCACAGAAGAGCTGCAGAAGAGCCTGTGAACTCTTCTGCTTCCCATTGGACACTTTGCTGTGTGAGATGGTCCCCTGCTGCCCAGGTATTACAGATTCATTTCATAATTATTACCAGAATCAGTGTCAGTGTTTCGTTTGCTGCCATGTCTCGGTCCAGATTCTGTGTCTGTACCTCTGTGGTGTGACAGATAGTCTGTGTTCTGCAAAAACGTGTGCACTGGTATTTCAGCACTGCCTTGTGAGCCAAAAGCATGAAGTCCTGAAAAGATAATTCATCATTCGGTAAAATGTAACACCACATAACATCACTGTCTGTTTTTCAAGCTGGAAACCATCAGCGGAAAGTGGATAAAACTACACAAGGTAACTTCTGCTTTTCATGTTAGATTCTGTTGAAACTGATGAAAACCTTCAGGGTCTTTAATCTGTCTACAGATTTACACCAAGTTGATTCTCATGTATGTGATAAATGAATTCTTGAATTTGTGATTATTGAAACATTCAGTGTTTTATGCGGCAGCTTGGTAAACTAGCGATGAGCTGTAAAATGAACTCGTTGTTGTTCATTGAGGAAGCTCATATGTGCAGGAACTCTGTGGTAGTTAAACATTTCTGCTTTTGCGTCACTTTGGAACAACAACTTCCCATTCTCATATTCTACCCTTCTCCTCCTCAACTTTTGATAAAACAGTCGCACTCCGGAGTCCGCCGTCAACCATTTTGATTGTGAACATCAACAACTCAACTCTGATCGACTGCGTCATCGGTAAAGACACCTATGAAACTGCTGTGGCAGATAGTCAGCCTTTAATACAGACACCTGAGCTCCAGGTGCACGGTGGGTAATACTTTTAATTAACAGCATATTTGTAGAAACCTAAAATACACGCATGAGCTGAATTTTATACTCTGCTATTTAGTTGTATTTTTGTAATAGTTGTATCAAACACATCAGAGCTCTCAAACTGTTCTCATTTTTCCCCATGTTGCAGATCAGAGGTGCAGCTGCAGCCATGGACAGCAGGGGGCAGAGCACACTTCTCCTGTACCTCCTCTTCCTCACTGTTGCGTTTCACCAGAGGAGCCTCCGAACATCAACATCCAGAGCTCCCACCTCAACTATGTCATCATCGGTAACAACAACTACATGCATGCTGAGCAGATCCACCAGTGTGATGCTTTGACAGAAAATATTCACAGTTAAGAAGCTCGAACTTGATTATTTCAGCCTTATTGATGAACAAAATAACATTTGACAAAATTTGTCATTTATTGTTTACAAATGTTATTTTAGGTAGAGGACTGGATTAATGGACAGACAGTTTCAACAATCTTGTGTTGACATTTAGAGTGTAAAGGTCTTGCAGGACCTCCTTGCTCAGGTTTAGATGTGCTTTGATAGAGGCCTCAGCCCTGATATTTGTGAGAATTGGCGTGAAGACATGAGTACAGTTCTTTACAGATGTCCAAGTGTTTTAAGGTGGCTGGTACACACAAACGTCAACTCCCCCATGCCTATTTATTATGAAATATTCCTCTTCCTGTTTTGTAATATCAGAGTCTTCTGCTCCTCAGACACAAGTACATTAAGCTGACAGCAGTGGGAAATTTCACTTAATTTCCCACATAGACTTTCTAATGAGTCATCTTTCTTTGACCTCTGTACTTAATGAATTTTATAATGTGTAACTGCATAGTATTGAAATACTGTGACTAAGCTCCTTGTCATATAATGAAAAAGGTGTTGATGATAAAATGTATGACCTATGGTCATTAACAGTAGACTACTTAGTAGTTCTCCATTCTGATTTCTTGCATTTTTTTTTGTATTTGATATTATTTAATATTATAAAAAGTGTTTGACCTTGCTCAGGTTATACTTTAACACAAAGTCTGGACTCAGGACTTTGAATCAATATGCTACCATTGTGCCTGTTGATATTTTCATATACAGTATGATGATATGATGGTGATGTTCCATGTTACCTTTACATATAGTGTACCACTTTTTGTTTTCTTCTGAAATGTATGAGATACATTGTTCTATTTGTCACAGGTTTGAAATAAGCAAAAATTAAATATTTTACATAGATCATTTTTTCTTCTTCTCTTTTCCTTCTTGGTTCTTGTTGCCTTTCTTGCCCTTCTTGCCATCCTCTGCTTTTTTACAACTGCCAAGGCCTCTGCGGACCATGCAGCCTCTCCACCAGGCCTGCAGCTGCAGGGTCAAAGATCACAGAACAGTGTTTAGAATTAGGGTAATCAGTACAATGAACAACCAGGACAAAAAGACCAGATAGACCATGATGGGGAGAGTCCTGGATCTGAGTTCTGACTGTCTTTACCATGGTAACAGCTCTGGTCTCTGCCTTCTGGTGGCGCAGTTTCTCCTGCTCCTGCCTGTCCTCCATCTTAACCTCCTCCATCTCCCTTAACTGAACACAAATTATCATCAAGTTAATGATAATCATCAACTGCAGTGACTGAGTGTCCTGTTGAGCATCAGCAGCTTTTCACTGTGACGTGTTGGGCACCAGGAGCTGCTCACCCTTCTCCTCATCTCTGACAGTTTGTCCAAGTTCACTGTTCTTTTGCGGCACACGTTGTTCAGCTGCTCCGTCTTCTCCAGCAGCATCAGCTCTGTGCGCTGCCGCAACTGCTGCAGCTGCTGCTGCAAGCTCTGATCAACAATAACCACACAAACATTAGGCTCTGCTGCAGCCCTGGATAAATATTATCATCATAACAGTAAGAGAGACAACATTTAAGCAAAACATGACTTAAACAACACAATCAATACTTGAAGTAAACAACAGGAGCAGAATGGAAACCATTGACACACCTTTCCATAATGTTAAAAAACTGTTTCTTAAGATCGGTGTTGTAAATATTGTTATGTTGTTGCTGCAATCAGTTACACATGGCATCTATTGCACTTCTGTCCTTCCTGGGAGAGGGATCCCTAACATGTAGCTGTCTCTAAGGTTTCGAGGTGTTTACGCCTCTGTGCCGGCGACAGCCAGTGGTCGGAGGCATTATGTTTTCAGATTGTCTGTCGGTCCCATTCCTGTGAACGCAATATCTAAAGATACCAATATTCACTTGGATTAGAGTTTGTCAGTCGAAAAGTCAAAGGACAAGGGCACAGTGATCTCATGTCATTGTGAATGGGATTTTTCAGGCCTGCCCATAGGGAATTTCTTTACACTTGGACTCACTGATGAATTGATTAGATTTCAGTGGTCAAAGGTCAAGGTGACATGTTTTTGGCCACTTGAATGTGATATAAGACTGCTTGAGGGAATTTCTTCGACCTTTGATCAGTTGTCACTTGGACTCAAAGATAAAGTGATCTCAAAGGTTAAATTGACCTTTATATAAATCTGGAAACATTTTTTTTTTTGAAATATGTACACAGAAACTGCCCTTGTTGGTGGAGGCATACATCTGCAGTGCTTTAGTCCTAGTTTCCCTCTTTTAATAGTTTTTTTGGTTAATCTTTCCTTTCTCTTGTTGAGGGTTAAGGACAGAGGATGTCGCTCTTTGTTAAGCCCTATGAGACAAATTGTGATTTATGCAGGATTTAGACCAAACCCATAAACCAGGAGTGCGGATAAAAACCACAGTCTCTGAGAAGACAGCACAGGGTTGAGGCATGTATATGAATTTCTCCCAGACGTCACAGATAACACATTTTAACTGCAGCTAAGCTAATGACAGATTTACACAGTACACAATAATCTGATGTTTGTAGAATGACCTTTTGATGATTTTGCTGGTATTGACTTGACACCTCGTGAACTTTCACCTCCTCCCTCTGCTGTTTCTGGAGCATCTGAGAAAGAAGGGACATAACTGATGAGATGACGTGAACATTTTCTGGAGTCTGAATTTAAATTTCAGCTGCAGCTAAGATAAATGTATTTTGGTCCTCTGAGCAAAAAAGGGAACAGAAAGATAGAATTTCAATTTGTAAATGGTTTGTATTTATATAGAGCTTTTCTAGTCTTGATGACCACTCAAAGTGCTTTACACTACAGTTGCCATTCACCCATTCACACACACATTCATACAGTGCATCTATGAGCAGCACTTTTTTTGTTCTATGGGGCAATTCTGGGTTCAGTACCTTGCCCAAGGACACTTTGGCATGCAGATGGGAAGACTAGGGATTGAGCTACCGACCTTCTGGTTGGAGGATGACCACTCTACCCCTCAGCCACAGCCACCCCATATTTGAATTTGAAAGCATCTGTTTCTGTTTGGTTGATACGTGGTGTGAACCCAGGCTGCAATGGAACAGGTGGACAACTGGACCCACCTCATACTGCTCCTCCAGCTGCTCCTCCATCCCCTTCTCAGCCTGACTGGTCCTGTTTTGTGCCAGTTGTAGCTGCAGCTCAGCCTCTTTGTCCACAATCCTCCTCCAGGTAGCAGCCTGCAAGGACTGCTCATCCAGCTGACGCCTCAGGCCTGTCATGTGCCGGCACAAGTCCTGAGCAGAGGGGTATTGAAAGTACTTGAAACACTGGACTTTCAACAACGTGCTAACTTGTTTAATTTTGTTCTTAAATAAAGAATCAGTTTGCTTGAATTAATAGATCAACTTTCAGCTTTAGCAGCTATTCACACAGATTGCTTTGGTTTTTGGATTTGCTCCAAATTTCTCACCTCATATTTCTCTATATTCTGTTGGAGCTTCTTTTGTTGTCTCTGTAGAGTTTTTTTTTTCTGCTTCAGCTCCCTCTTTCCCTCTCTGGGTGGAGAGACACGCATTACTGATACAACACAGACTTCTTTCGTCATAATATTACAAGAAGGAAGTTATAATTTAACAAGAAAGATGGAAATCTACAAGAAAAAAAGTCTGTCTGGCTCTTTCTTCAGAATAGACACAGTTTCTAAATCTCTGATGTTCTTTTTCCTTTAAAGGTCCGGTGTGTAAGATTTAGGTGAAAGGGAACTATTGGCAGAAATTTAATGTAGAATAACCCTTATGATGTTTTCACTAGTTCGTTTCATCTAAATTGTATGAATTGTAGTTTTCTTTACCCCAGAAAAGACCCTTTATATTTAAATACTTTTTATTTACATGGAGGGGACCCTCTCTACGGACGTCGCCATGTTTTTTACATTAGTCCAGACTGGACAAACTAAACACCTTTTGAGTTTTTATGACAACTGAAGTCTACTACTAGTTCTTTTTCATGTTTCAAAAAATTCTACACACTGTACCTTTAAATGTCCATAAAACTCTTTTGTACATTTATGCACCAGTTGATCCTAAAGTTAAAAATGTAACTTAATCCCAGATCAAAGTATGTTGAAGGTCCATTAACTGTGTTTTGTGGATGTAATGTGATGTTAAAACACAATCATTTGTGTTGAGTGTCTCACTTAAAATGTAACGTGTCTTAAAATGAATTATTATCAGTATCAATAAACCTTTGCATTTTCTCAGCCTTCTTCCTCTGCTCCTCTTCCTCCACCACCTGCAGCAGAGAGGTGAAAGTCTGCTTCTCCTCCAGCTCTGAAAGCAGCTTGAAAATCTGCTGCTGGATGTACTGACTTCAGAGAGAGACACAGAGAAATTAGACCAAAAAAACCCGGTTTCTTCAGTATAAAGTTTTTCTGCACAACTCACCAGTCCCTCCTTAGCTTGGTCAGTCTGGCTCGCTCCTAAAACACACACACACACACACACACACACAAACACAGTTACTACTTGCCAACGAAACCCTAACAGATGCCTTCACCTTGAAATTTTATGATTTACATTATGGGGACTTGCTCTTGGGGCCAATAAGGAGGACAAGTCCCCATAATGTGACTGTGTACACAGATTAAGGTCCCCACAAGTACTACCTGGACCACACACCAAACACACAAACACACATGTGCACCCACACACACATATATGTTTCTATTGAATTGATTAATTATGTCATGGTCCTTTGATGTGTGTTTGACATTATGTGTTGGGCAGATTTTTTTAATTCGTGGAATATTGGTATTTAGAATGGTCATGTGATCTTCGTTAGACTTTGGTTTTGTATTTTTAGATTTATAGGTCTTATTTTGGATTTACTAGTTCCTGTTTTACTTTTCTTGTATATCTTCTTTTTGCTTTACTTTCTGACTTTGTCTAGTTTTCTGACCCGTCCCTGATGTGTTTCACCTGTGTTCAAAAATTAGGTACATTTTAGGTTCTGATTTCTATAAGTGTATGTGATTTGATCTAGCTCAACTGAATTTAAGGAGACTGTTGGACCTCGGCAGAACTTTGCGCTATAGGCTACTGAGTGTCATTCTAATTCCTGGTTGTTCCCTAGTGTTTCCGTTTGATTCCATTGCTGAGTTAAACATGTTTAATTAGTTTTGGATGCTCTTGCCTTGGGACCTGCTATAGAACATTAGATCCACACAGTGAAGCTCACCTGTGCAGCTGCACTGTCCCGCTCCCTGCTGATCTGCACAGTTAAACTGTGTACCAGTATGTCCAGCTGGTCTGAGCAATCCTCCAGCAAGGCTACCACGCTCAGGCTCTGCATCCTGGACAAAGACATTCTGCACACAATGACAGAGATATTAATTTTAAAAAAATTCACAGTAAAACACGATCAGCCCTAACAGATAAAAAAAACTGTCACTTAACTTTAATCAGGAACAGTGACTCTCACCCTGGGTTAAATAAAAACCTCTGTTCACCTGATCCTTCACAAGAGAATGTTTTATCTTTTAAATCATCTTAGCCGACTGTTTGTCGTTTACATGTCGCTATGGCAACACTTCACTGAAAAAGCTAAATAATGACAACAACTGTTTCCTACCAAGCTATTTATTTACTTCTGACATATGAAATGTTTCACAAAGTCACTGAAACTACATTTTTTCTTGGAAAAGATTTTGTGAGCAGAAAACCTCTGTGTTTAAATTTCATCATATATTTTTCATTCTAATGCCCTCTAATGACTAATATAATAATGTACAATAATAATCACAATAATAATAATAATAATAATAATAATAATAATAACAACTAGGGCTGCGAGAAATTAAAAATAGAATTAAAGTTTTAATTTAATACCCCTTCCTCTTGCCAGTAAGTGGTGCTATCACTATCACTATCACTTTCACTATATATCAATCAATCAAATTTTATTTGCATAGCCCATATTCACAAATCACAATTTGTCTCATTGGGCTTGTATATTAGTTTGTATAGTCTTGCATTCTCATTGGTCCTGTCATCAAAGCCTCAGCCTTCACAGACAACCTCAATCATTCTGTTGTGATTTCTCATCATTGATCTTATTTTTCTGTGATATACAGACTAACAGATCTTTTTAGGCTGGATTTTGGTGCTGATTGGACAATGCACAGTGGAGTTAGAAATGCTTCCTGTTTGATGGCAAATCAGTAGGTGGCACTATGACCCAGTTCAGGTGGGAAAATGCCAAAAATCAAGCCAAATTTCATTTTCAAACCAAAATGGCTGACTTCCTGTTGGGTGTTGCTAAGTGTCAAGGGGATTATATGTGCGTCTGGGAATGATACACAAGTTCAAATTTTCATAACTGAAGATGAAAATAAAGGGGTGGGAACACCCCCGTTGGAAATTTCTACGGGGCACTATCGAGACATTTTTGGACGCATGTTCCTGATCACATTTAAATACGTAATTTTCCCCAAACCTGACACACCCACATATTTTGGTGAATTTTTTAGCATGATGAATATCCCAGAAAAGCAATTCATTTCTAAGAAGAAGAAGATAGAAGAATAATCAACACAGATCAATAGGGTCTTTGCACTGTCGTGCTCTGGCCCTAACTAGGGCTGCGAGCAGCATTGTGTGAGCCTAAGCAGTTGCGATCTCAGGACCTGATGTGGCCGCAGGGGGAGGGCATACAGTGACCGGGTGAAACTGCTCCTTGTTTGTGCATTGCGGGAAGGATAAACACGTCACTTACTGCATCTATTTTGCACCGCTGGACCACACCCACTAATTAGCATTACAGACCACGCCATTAATGTAGACCACATTGTGAACATTTTATGAAAATTGAATTAAAGTCGTAAAGCAAGGCTTACCTCTTTTTGGCAGTAGGTTGTGCTATTACTATAATTACACACTGAATAAAAGATCTGTTCAGGTCAAAAACACTCTTGTCTCTCTTCAGATCGCATAAATCTTTCACCTTTGCAACGGTCTAAGACATCAAAGCAATCTATGACCTCTGACACTGAGACATAGAAGCAAACTGACAACAAGGAATTGTTTGCTTAATGAATCCTTTTAAGTGTTCTTTTATAAAAAACTGAGTTAAAAAGTGGGTTTTTCTTTCAGCTTAACCCTTTGATACACAACATGGGTCAAAAGTGACCTGTTAATGAATTTCATCATTCAGTATTTCAGGTATTCTGCAATTAATCCTTTATTTTTTGCTTTGTTACCTTTGGCATAAAATAATTTTTGTATCCCTACCCTTCTAATGCACAACATGGGTCAAAAATGACCCATATTAATTTCCTGTGTTATTTCATGCTA